CTGCTGCTGGACACTAAACACCGTCGAGCCGCTCTTACAGTCGCGGCAGCACGGTCTCGTGTTGTTTCCACCAGTGCGGCAATCTTTTTTCATCACTAATTGATGGATGTCTAAAATATAAAAATAAGGAGAAGCCTAAAACAGGCCCGAGGCCCTGCCCGGGTCTGAACTATGACGTGAAAATTGTCCCGCAGCCCAGCCCGAGGGGCTGAAATGCAGGGCTCTAGCTCTGATCTAGCACACAGAAAACGATTTGACTGAAATTTATCAGAAGAGATGAAAGAAAGATAGTGGTCATCTGCGCAATTCGGAAAAAGAGGCGGCTTTTCTGCATTAGGTATGTTTTTTTATTTTATTTTTTTTACTCTTTGTACAGCAGTTATTGTTCATTCTAAATTAATTTTTTAATGTAGAATATGTGTTACATAAATACATGAAATGTAGAACATATAAAAAAGTGCTCGTGGCTCGTCTGCCAGTGGGTGCCCCCCCATCACGCATAAAGTGAAACTCCGCCTATGATTGTGCTGTTACTCCTTTCGAGCCGAATTTCACAAAATTGGGTGTTATTTATGGGGAGTAGAATTATTTATTTATTTCAATGAATGTAATTGATTAGATATCATAATATTTAGGCTATAATATTATAAATCAGGTTGGTTTGTATTGCTGACGTAATATGTAAATGATATGCGTGCGGCCCGCGAGACGTGCACTTGGACCATAGTGCGGCCCGGTGGAAAAAAAGGTTGAGAACCACTGCTTTATACAGTCACCATTCACAGACTAGAGATGTGCAGTAATATAGTTTAAATTTTAAGATGATATAAACAATCAAGATAGAGTGGCGAGTGGTGACATCTTTAACCGGTAATTTATTAAAGACGATAAATGATGGCAGGTGTTCTTTTAAAAGTAGGTCTCTTGTCAGGAAGGTGGCAATGCCTGCCACATGCTTATAAGCACATACAAGCAAGATTTGTCAAGCATGGGGAAAACAAATGGAGCAATACAAATTTTAGCTTGTGGACTTTTTAAATTAGCTTTGCTTGAAAAAAACATGAAAATATACCATCCCTTTTTTCCATTTGATTTAGTCGATTTAGTTTGCATCAAATGCAATGTGATTTTCAGTAATTGAGATCTGTCAGCAACAGCACATTTTTCTGCTTGGGCGAGCGATTCACAGACAGTTTTCGGTGCACATGGGTCAAAGACGAAAAAGGGTTTAAGCATAAAAAAATAAGTGTAATACTGCTTTAAATTGTTGTTGTTTTCCCCCCAAAAAAATTAACAAGTTTTCCGTTTAATTGCAATTTTGTTTTTGTTTTTCTGAGCATAAAAATAAATATACATTTTCCCCTGATTTACAGAAGAGAACCACTAAAATGTCATTCAGTGTAACATTCTTGTCAGGCATATTTACAACAAAAATCAATTTGTGACATTAAAAGACTAATTACTTCCACCCCAAATAATAATTAGTTGTAATTTTTCATTTTTAAAATGTGCCACTATCCTAGGTTTTGCCCATTTGTCAGTAAGAATTTATTACTCATTTAAAACACAATCAAATTTAATACGCTCCCTTATCATTTTATATATTTAAATTTGTACAAGTCAGAATAAGCATGTTTTTACATACATATTAATTTTTACATACATATTGTGTTACACTGAATGACAGCGGAACATTATTTCAACATTTTATTCTCCAAAAACTTATTTGAAACCTTAAAAGTAGACACTTTACTTACATTTAATGTGCTTTCTATGGACATAAAACCACTTTTGTACATTTCTTTTGTTGCGGACATCTTAACGCATTTGACCCTTACACACTTTTTTTTGCATTTTATGCTCCAGAAAACCAAACATTTTAATGTTCCTATAATATTACACATAAATGTAAAAATAAAGTTTTATAACCCAAATGTATTACCTACAAATATGCTTGTTTGACTGTAAAATATGGCATCTTCTGATTCTCTCGTGAGGGCAGATATCATGTTGACTGACTTTCCCTGTTTTTCGTGTAGTTTCCAGGAGATGGTGATGTACTTCGGGCTCAAACCCAAGTCTGGAGAGAAGGAGGTTTCTCCAAGCTTCATCTTCATGCTGTGGTACGAGTTCTGCAATGATTTCAAGAGCACCTGGAACCGAGAGAATAAAAGCATCTCCAAAGAGAGGTGAGGACCATCCATCTCACAATGAAGTTTAGAGACTAAAGCCGTGTTTGGACCCGTTTAGAGCAATAGTTCAGCCAAAAATAAAAATGTGCTGTAAATGCGCTCACCCTCAGATCATCAGAGATCAGGATGAGTTTGTTTCTTCATCAGCATTGCATCAGTGTCTCACTGCAAGTGAATGGGTGCCGTCAGAATGAGAGTCCAAACAGCTGATAAAAACATCACAATAATCCACAGTCCATCAGTTCACATCTGGAGAAGACAAATCTAGTCTTTGATGCTCTTCTTATTTTTAATTGTCCACACAATTCGTTTGGCAGCGTCTCTGATTTCAGTGAAGCTTTTACAGATCTAACCTACAGCCAATATTCAGTTCTCACTTAGAAATGCACAAAAAATCCCTCTTATTAGTCTCTGTCGCTCTTGTTTTTCAGTCGAAATATCCAAACATTTACTTGATGTTTTGCAGAAATGCCACGTTTTAGAGAAGATATCATCCATCAGTTGGGTTTATTTTTGTTTCTGCGTACTGTTTTCTCATTTTAAGTATAAATCTAACGAACCTTAGTGAAGTTTAAAAACAAAAACAGCTTGTATAACAGGAAAAGTTGACTCAGAATGTTCATCTGCGGTCATCAGAAGAAACCCGGAAATAAATGATGACAGAATTATATTTTTGCGCTCTTTTATTTTAGACTCAAAGAAGCTCAGCAGACCGTCCAGAAAATCACAGCTGAGAAGAAAGTGGAGACGAAGAAGACCAACGCAAACAGTCTGGTGAGAAAACACACAAGCACACAGCTTTATTACATTCACAACACACGCTCTATAATGAGAATAATTCTATTGCATGTGTTCATGCTGATGATGCTTTGAATGAAGCCGGCAGTGAAATCCAGGGTTTTATTTATTTATTTTAATACAATTTACCAAAACAAATAAATTTTTTCCTGATTTACAGAAGAGACCCACTAAAATGTCATTCAGTGTAACAATCTTGTCAGGCATATTTACAACAAAAATCAATTTGTGACATTAAAAGACTAATTACTTCCACCCCAAATAATAATTAGTTGTAATTTTTCATTTTTAAAATGTGCCACTATCCTAGGTTTTGCCCATTTGTCAGTAAGAATTTATTACTCATTTAAAACACAATCAAATTTAATACGCTCCCTTATCATTTTATATATTTAAATTTGTACAAGTCAGAATAAGCATGTGTTTACATACATATTAATTTTTACATACATATTGTGTTACACTGAATGACAGCGGAACATTATTTCAACATTTTATTCTCCAAAAACTTATTTGAAACCTTAAAAGTAGACACTTTACTTACATTTAATGTGCTTTCTATGGACATAAAATCACTTTTGTAAATTTCTTTTGATGTGGACATCTTAATGTCTTTGACCCACATGTAATCACCCACAGGACAACAAACCAATGAGAACAAAGAACAATAATGATGAGTCATAGCAATAGAGCATAGGCGCCAAAGCTGTTGTGGATGCACTTACCCGGATGCAACTGGCACAGATTTGAAGAAAATGACCATTGTTTGGAAAATAAACAATTGGATAATTTGATTATGTCAGCTTTATGTTACACCTAAAACTGACGAGGGAATTTACAGTAGGGCTGAACGATTAATTGCATTTGCGAAAAAATAATTGCATATTAAATCGCAATCGCAATATTGGTAAAAAAAAAATCGCAATAAGATTATTTTCCAAAATCGTTCAGCCCTAATTTACAGTAATAATAATTTGTTGGTTCTTGAACCCACTTTCTCAAATGGCTTGGGTTTGCAGAGTATTCACAGCTTTTATGACAGAATGCCCCTGCTACACAGTAATAGTATACTAATTTGCTACATAGCATATATCAGTTTATATGACAATACTGTGTGTATGTGGACCAAATAGGATATACTTAGACAGCCAACTTTATATATAGATCCATGTGATAATTACGTTTACATTTTGCTACAATATAAACAATCAAGCAGTTGAGATTTGCTATATGCATTGCCTTATGTAAAATGTATGTATGTGGGTAAAGTTGGAGAGTGCGATGCGATAATAAAGTTTAAAATAACCCTCCATCATAAAAAGTGAAATCCACTGCTACAAGCACACAGCACAAAACAAGCGGTTGGCTGTGCACTGTAGAAGTCTTATTCATTTTTATTTATTTGTTTATTTATTTGTACAGTAAATTACAAGCCGACCACTTGTGTCAGAAATGAACCAGGGTTTGAAGAAAAAAATCCTACCAGCAACAAAAGTGCCATCAAATTCCAAAGCTTCAGAGGCTAATAATAATAATAATAAAATGATCATGCTTTGTAATATCTGACAATATCTCACATATATAATACGTTACGAGTGGATGTTCATTCAATTTATAGTAACTAAATATTTGACACAAAATTATGTATATATTTAGAATAAGGCCTTCATCAAGTAAAAAGTAAATTTCTGACACAGATAACCAGCAAACATGGGCTTGTTTTATGCACTGATGGGGGTGAATTGATATAGGCTAGGCCTGTATTTACAGTTTATAAAAATAAAAACAACCAATATTACTCCAGAGCAATTAAATGCCAGGACTGTTGTTGTCTTTGGAAAGAGTGGCTACTGCAGGAATTAATGTGATTGGTGTCAAAACCAATTTCGCTACCAACGTAATCAGCATCTGAGACATTATAGGCACATTATAACGTTCAAATCCAACACCTGTGATACTCAAAATAGTACATAGACTGGCAACTCGTTAGTATTGAAGACAGACATTAACAGGTATTTTTCCTAGAGCAGGCAGCAGTACAGGCTAACTGACTGGCCCTCAGTGCAGCAGTTACAAAACACGTCCAGCCCGGCAGATAACGCTAGCCTGCTAGTTAGTCTGACAAATGTGATGTAACTTACATTTCTTAAGTCGAAATTGTCCTTCCAGTAGACGCCACGTTCCAGGCGGCCGTCAGGTGTGCCTTTCTGACGAGAACCCACTCGCTAAACATCTAAGTATTTGGACCGTTGGTGATATTAGCTCGTTTCGACTAGCGCAGCTAAAGGTAAACCCAGCTAGCTGGCTAGCTAATGCGGTTAAATTCACACGGTCAGGTCTGCCCTCAACGGCTCTCGTCTGGGATTACGAGCTGGAACGAACATATTTGACATGCTGTTTCACTTCGGCTCAGCGACTAAATAAGTGCGACCTGACTGGTGGTTGTCTGAGCGTTTCTACTAGCGCAGCTAAAGGTAAACCCAGCTAGCTGGCTAGCTAATGCGGTTAAATTCACACGGTCAGGTCTGCCCTCAACGGCTCTCGTCTGGGATTACGAGCTGGAATGAACATATTTGACATGCTGTTTCACTTCGGCTCAGCGACTAAATAAGTGCGGCCTGACTGGTGGTTGTCTGAGTTAAATTTCGAGCCGTGTTAGCGTTTCCAGCTACATGTCAGAGACAGGTGATGAGCACTACTCAGTGCTATTGACGGCCGCGCGCTTGCCTTGGGTTCTGTGTGATGGGAGGGGCCATCGCCTCTGTGATTGACATCATTGGCCGAGAGGCTGAGAATAAAACTCATTTATTTTGGGTCATATATATATACATACATACTTACTTACTTATGTATGTATGTGTTTGTTTGTTTGTTTGTCTGTCTATATATCTATTTGTATCTTGGTTAGTAATATTTAAATTAAGTCTCAAATTAAAGTCTCAAATCAAAGTCCACCTACCCTTGTGAAAAAGAAGTACACTTTAGCATACTCTTAAAAGAGTAGGCCTGCCTGCTTATTATGAAAATAATATACTTTAGAAGAATATACTTAAGTGTGATGTTATCAGACACTTAATTGCATGTTACTGCAGTTAAATGAAATAATGTATTGTAGTTTAAATTTATATTAAATGTCGTTAGCTAAAGAGTGCTTTATTGACCCATTTAGGATTTAAATACATTTCATTTCATTCTTTTATTATCTTTGATATATGGTTAAAGTATACAACTGAATATACTGACCAGCATTTATGGTAAACTAAAATACACGTGAATGTCTTTTTTTATTTTTATTTTTTATTTTTTAAGCTTGTATGAGTTACAATTTAGCAAAAAGGTTAAAAGTATAATCAAGTATTTTACACATGCTTTAGGATGTTAGTCAACAGATCAAAATAAGTGTACTTATTTAAAGCATGACAAAAGATTATCAAAGCATAATAATTTAAAATGTTCTTTAAAATAAAACTTTTTTAACATTTATAGACTGATAATTAAGTTATTGGTTACACTTTATTCTGTAGATGAACATGTTGTTACTTTATGATTTTTAAAAGAGTTTACTTATAGATGCAAAGTTGATCTTTTAGATAACTATTGACTTGTGGATTGCTTCACATTTCAACATCCTGCAGCTCTTCTCCGGCCCCTCCTGCAGATAATCTTTGCACCTCTTCTGTGAGCTTGTCAATTACCTCACAGATATCTTCTTCAATTATTGATTAGTATTGGTAATAGAATCTGGTTCCCACGGGTAATCTTACCCGGAAGATAGCTGGATACCTCTGTGACAACTTTAGAATGGGTTAATCAGCATTTACATTATTAATTTCTGATACATTTTTAAAAAATGGATCACATTCAAACTTTTCTGGTTCAAATTTAATAAATAAATAGACTATAGCTATCCATCTGCATACTGTCAGAAAAATAAGCAAATTTCAACTCAAGTTCTTTGTTGCAAAGAGTTCAAGTTGTTGCAAGGAGAATGGAGATTTCAAGATGTCTCCTTTAAATTAGACATAAACCATTTGAAGCAGACTAAAGCCACTGCCTCAGACTAATGCAACAGTATGTAACATTCCAACTTTCAATGTTGCTGGGAAATCTAAAATATTGCTCCCTCCTTGCATTTATACCCCAGATTTCTGAGGCTGCAGACCACAATGGATTTAAAAAAAAAAAAACTAAAATTTGCTGAGTTGTCTATAGATTATTGTCTAGAGTTGTCTATATCCTTCACATTTGGAGATATTTGTTTTTCTGCCATAGTGTTGTGAACTGATAGCTTGTGTACTTGTGTAATAAATATCATTTGTGAAGTACTGCAAGAAAATGCTAAAATAATAAAACTGCGTTACATAGGTAGTGGCATAACAGATGTTGTAATAAAAGTACATAAAAGAAGATGCAAAATTCTACGTCTGTCAACATATATTTTTATATATCATAAGAGCAAAGAATTAAATCTTGGTTTAATAAAAGGCTTTTTTTATTTTAATATTTTGAGAAATGCAATATCCTGTAAAGAATGAAGATTTGACAAACAGCTTGTCTCATAAACATAGTCAAATCAGTTCTTCACAAGTTAGATTTACATTTGAAAAAACAGTTTGTGTATTTTTATTACAGTAGCTAAACCTGTTTTTTGGTACACTTTACTGTGATTGTAGTTGTTAAATAAAAATGTCATTCATATCAATTCATGCATCACCTAATTTCATCGTAACATATAGGCCTGGCCTACAGAAAAGAACTTTTATGTTTAATCTATCTAATAGTGTGTTGGTCATACTATACAATGATTTATAGCTTGTCTTTGTTGAATAATACAGAACATAAAGAGCTTTAAAAAATAATTGCATATTAAATCGCAATCGCAATATTGGTAAAAAAAAAATCGCAATAAGATTATTTTCCAAAATCGTTCAGCCCTAATTTACAGTAATAATAATTTGTTGGTTCTTGAACCCACT